GGCCCAGTTGCTGACCCATAGTGTGTTGACCCTTTTGGTGGTTGAATGACGTTCTGTTCATTTGTTTTCGGGCCAGCCTGAGTCCGGAGTCATGGGCTCCCCAAACTTTGAGGTAGTAGTCAAAGACTCGGCCCGCTTGTGATACGTAGGTTCTACCCGCAACACCGAGGAGAGGGGTCTACATCATTGAAGGCCAACGCTTTGACTTCGAGGAGGTCCTTGAACCTGGGACTGCCAACCAGGGTTTATTTGCTTGACGAGGCCTGGGCATTAGACTCACTAAACGTAGGGTTCCAATCAACATGAATTAACTTTCCGGCGGTCAACGTCGCACAGAATCCCAAACTTGAGTGACCATTCGACAGCCTTTGACAGCCCAAGCTGGTAGGAGGTTGACGAAGACAATTTCATACAGTTTCTTGTGCTGTCAAAGTTTCAGAATCAACATGGAATTGGTCATGGTCACAAAATCCAGCCCGGAGCCTGCATGAACTCTCCAGTCAGCGTCCGGCAGCTTGCCAGCCGCCCCAGCATTTTCAAGGAACAGTCGGGTCTCCGAATCGAAGACGAACCTTTGAGGGTGGAGGAGCTCAAGGCGCGAACGGGCCGGGCGTCCGAAAGGGCAAGAGCATGTGGCACTGAGGGTTTTATATAAGCTTTTAAGCATGACGCCTGTGACAGGGAAGCGGTACCTTGCTTCAGGACCAAGCCGTTTCTTGGGGGGAAAACGGGTCGCAAGTGGTTTTGTGGAGCCTGTTGTGACATGCTTTTGGATGTAATTTCGGTTTCTTGTGGCGGCTGCGTGGACTACCGGTCGGCCAGGAGAACTTCTCCCAAAAGGTGGCCGCTGAGATCCGGCAACGCTTACGGCAGAGCCCGGCGGGCAAGACAGCGGAGAGTGAGGCAGGGTTTAGGTACTGTATGTGAAACACATGGCCACGCGTTGCTAGACGAAGATCGTGCTGCGTTCGTGCAGGTTGATCAACTTCCAGGTTCAGGTTCTATGAAAACAAGGTGTCCGCTTTAAGAGTTGATGGCCATCGGTCCATTTTTGCTTTTCCCGATCAAGTAACGAAGAAACTTGCACCACACCCCGAAACACAGGTTTCAAACATTTCATGCATGGACAGGTGTCTGCCTTGGGTGACACCCAGCCCCAAGATTGGGGCCAACCCTGTGAGGTGAACCCCCCTGAACCCTTTTGAGAGCACCTGGTCATAGGCTGCCGCAGCAGTGAGAACCACTGACATCAACTGACCTTTTGTGCGTTGGTGTTGTCTTCGACGACGGCCACATGCGTGTGCACCCATCTGCACTTGCGTTCGACCGATGACGGTCACCGGAACCCGACCGAGTCGTGGGGCACCGAGGCGGGCTACAACGTGTTGGTGCGTGGCGCCACCTCCTTATTGAGCCAGTCGGGCTTAGCGAACCTGGAGCGCGCATGCGATGCGCGGGTCGTGGTGGGTGGCTCCTTGGCGTGATGGGAGTGGCTCTCCGATCATCAACCAGCTGTCAGGGTGATGAACATACAATGCACATGATCTATTTAGATTGGTGGGCCTTGGTTGGAGGTGGGTCGAAACCAACTCTTGAGGGGTCTTTTTGGCACTTTCTGTTGAGCCCCCCTTGGTTTTTGGAAGAGTACTCAACCAGTGACCAACTTGTTGGGCGCGAACGCTTTCTGGTCTGGAGAATTTGTAGTAGGGTCTCACAGATGCATAGGTGCCGAGAAAAACCCATGACTGGAAGGAGAGATGCAGGCCTCCGCCTCCGCCATAAAAGGCGACCTACTTCGAGAGCACCAGGCAGACCACCACTCATCACAAGCCACAGGAAGCAGTCAGGGGATGGAGGTCGTGTGCCGCGCTTTGAGGCGGAGATCAGGAGCTCATCTTCGAGCTGAAGCCTTGCGAGAACGAAGCTGCTTGGGATTTCTTGCTTTGCTGCGAGCTCCTCTGGCTGAAGTAAACATGGGGTCCTGGGGGTCAAAACCGTTCAATCCAACCCATCCAAGAAAGCCATCAACTGGGTGCGAAGTTGACATCCCAAAATCGTTGGATCGGTGAAGACCCTTTTTGGGCTCCCAAGTCCTTCAACCACCTCGGGACGAACACAACCATGCTCCAACCCAGCATAGCCGCACCAAGCCTGCGCGGGCCGCGTGGGAGCCGCGGAATCAGGAAGATGAATTTCGAGAACTTCATGGTAGCTGGGCCTGATGGGTCAAACCAGTTCTTCCAATGCGGCACTGGCTCGCGAATTTTCAGGCGTTTCTGGCTGTGACAGGAAGAGAGAGAGAGAGGTGCCAGACTCATCCCAACGCAAAGTATTCTCAGAACCCAAAGTGAAGGAGGTCCCCTAATTAGATCTAATTAGTCTATTTCAAGCTTTCCCTCTTGTGTCATTTTGCTATTCTGGAGTCCGATCACTGGGCAGACTCCAGGTCGACGCAGATCCGCCTGACTGTGGAGCCTAAGTATCCTCCGGTCTCCATTGAGGCTGGGGCCCTGTTGAGGTTCAGAGAGGCAGAAGGTCTAGCACTAGCTGGCTGGTGACAGGAAAGCACCAAAGAGCAGGCAATTTCCATGGTTCTCTTGCGTTCGGAGGCTTCCGAACGCCAGATCAGTTTGGACTTGCTAAAGTGATCAAAACTTCGAAGGGTCAGCAATTTGTTCTGCAACCTCTCTCAGCTGTTCGAAAACCAGATGAGCACTCGGCAAAATGTGCAATGCCCGTGAATTTCAGGAATTTTGCTGATAACCTTGATGAATCATGTCCGCTACTTGACAGTATGTTTTTGGAGCAAACGTTCCACTCGCCCAACAAGATCGTCGACTCTGAGCTCCGTGCTGGATTTTGAGGTCCTGGAACTCCGCTCCGAGATGGACCTGCTGGACGAGCTCTATCAGCCGATCGCCTGGGAACCCGTGCAGGACGGAAGGGAGAATTTTCAGCAGAACTGGTGTGAGGTACTTTTGGGTGTAGGTGCAGCGCTGCAGATTGGTGTGGTTTTGGATGGGTTCTAGTGAAGACTCATCAGTGAGAGGTGCCAAGTCTGGCACAAGGGACTGAAAGATTCACCCTCATGAGTTCCTGGCGAGTCTTGGTGCATGCCGCCTTGAACGGAGCCGAGTCTGTGTCTCATTTGCTCGGCCCGGGAGCCGGCTGTTGGAGATCGCACCTGGAAATGGACCAAGGCTGGGGAAAGAACCCAGCATCCCAACACTTATCTTATATAGCTTCACAGCAGAAGGCTCCCAGTGACGTCATGGATGAGTCCTCAGCGGATCGAGCGAGGTTGGGAGACGTGCAGCATCGGTGGGGCCCGGATCGCGTCCGCGCGCGTCCCGTTGTGCGGAGCCGCCAGGACCGGCGACTGGCTTTCAGAGTCAGCTCCATCAATCTGGTGAGGCCGGGAAGGCTTCCCTAGTGGCGGGTGATTGGATTGCCAGGTTCTCCTCGACTCTACTCCTGATTTGGGAATTTTTCGGAGATTGAATGCTGGCGAAATGCGCCCCCTCTGAGTTCGGGCCGATTCGGGCTCAGTAGGTCGTAGGGAAAACGGCACCAAATTTTCAAAAACCAAAGAGCCACGAAGAAACTGTTTTCCATTGTTTTCCACCCAGACCCAGAGGGCCATGGTTTTGTTGATGTGTTCATCAAACCTGTTGATGATGTATTCTATTTCTATGTTGCCCATGGCCCCAACTCGCAGCCACGCCGAATTCCGGGAGTAGTGGTGGTTTCAAGGCGGCACCTGACATGATCGCAGATTGGTAGCAGATCAGTGGCACGTGGATGGACCTTTAAGCCTGAAGGGAAGTACATAATTACCTATCACGCTATCACAGTTTGCATATGGTGAAGTTTCTGGATTGTCCCTCGTCCATTTCACGGCATCGCTTCCAGCCCTAGGGCCTTGGCCGCCTTGCCCTTTCGTCTTTTGCGATCCTGCTGGGCGAAAGCGCAGCAGACGTGGCTTGTCACATTGCACTTTGCATCAGACCAATCATCTGTGCCTCCCACAGATGGATATGGCATGATATGGTGATGGGACGCTCTCCCGAGCCGTAGCATCTGGGGGGCCCCTTGGGGTGTGGCTGCTGGCCGCACTCATCCGGCGATGCCCCGCTGAGGTTCCGCGCGCCCGAGCGCTCAGAGGGGGAGCTGCCGCTCTACGAAGCGGGCCTGGAGCTGCCGGAGCGGTGAACGGAAAAAGGCTTGCCGCGCTCGGGGCGCTCGGCGGCCGTGCGGGAGGAGTGCTCACTCATGTGATACGTAGGAGGATGTAGGAGGGGAGTGCTGGGAAATGCTGGCTGGGAGGTTGAAAGTTGACCATGGGTGGGATGGGTTTTGGTTTCACCAGGTTGGATTTGTCAAGGAGCATGTCCCTTGTGGAAAGTCATTCTGGGACTTCCCAATTAGATGGCAAGATCGGGGGCATTGCGCGTTCGCGCATTAGGCTATCACACCAAGGGTTCCCACCACCTTTATGGCTATATGGCCTTGTCAGGTTGTGTCTGCTTTGAACAGGTATTTGCATGTATTTGTTGACAGGCGTCCTGGAGCAAATTTGACCTCGCCCGCCTGCCCCAGTGTGGGTGTCGCATTTGCGGCTTCTATCCTTCCACCCCAATTACTGTAGTGGCCTTTGTCGAGAGGGGGGGTCCAGGGTTGGTGCCAGGTCTGGGGTGCTCCCAGTCTGGCACCTCCCCTTGGAGTTGTCGCCCAAAGCCGCGAGCGCTGAGAGGGTCTTGGTTTCTTAGTGGGGGGGAGGACGTTGGTGTGATCATACCGTGAAGGTAGGGATATTGCAAGAGTTCATACTATGAGTGTTTGCCGGACCCCTTGTCCATAGACCAAGTAGTTCCCGTAAACCCAGTTGAAAACTGTCCTTCCTCTCCCCAACCAACCAATGGAGGTGGAAAACGGTGCCTTGGCACGGCTTTCTTCCAGAGAGTGGACCACCAGATGAGCATCGCACCGGCACCCCCTAGGCCAAGCGCATCGCCAAACGAGCGGAGTGTGGTTCCAAACGAGCGGAGTGTGGCGGGATGGATGTCTTCGGGTCCAGGGAGCTTCCGTGTCCCACACGGGTTGCGAAAGTGGTGGTCTTCATGCCCAAGAAATCCCTGGAAGAGCCTGATTTAGCGAACCTGAAAACCACCTGGGTCGTAGAGACAACATCGTTTTGCAAAGGTCCATTTTCGGGTTTCATGGTGATCTTCCCGGATGTACAGCCAGAAATGACCATGTCCAATGGGAGAATGGACATAAATGGACATAGAGCTCTGGAAGGAGATCTTCACGCATGTTCACGCTCGTTTTGGAGTTTTTTCGTCAAACCAGCATCAAACAGTGACCCTTGGAACATTCTTTTCCATTTTTAAGCTACTTAAAGTCGTTCTTTTCCTTCAATCAGCCCGTGTTTTCCATGTCCATGCGACGAATGCTCCTGCAGTCCCGGATGATTTCTCGCCGCTGTTGGACCCATTTTGAAGGCCGATTTCGAGCACTCTAGGGAGTACTGAGTAGACGGGATCTTTCCGCATCCTGCATGGGGCAGCATTCCCAACTCAGTCAAAAAATGGCCGCTGAGGTTGTCCTTCAATCCTGCCAAATCTTGCAAACCCCTCTCAGCATTCACAGCCAACCTGTGCTGCCTAATATCCACCTGTGCTGCTGAGGGGTGGCGTTCAGTCACAAGACCATCCCTGCTCCAAGGTGCCGGCACTCGAGTTGTGCCGGTGGGAATGGCTGGACGTACGCCCCTCATCCGTTTGGAAGGAAAGCCACTTGTGGAATCTTTTCGTAGAGTGAAGCGAACTGAAGCCTAGACCTTAGGCATCTATAGTCTATTTTTCTTTTGAACGGGGTGGCAGCAGAGGCTTCAGGGCATGGTTCCTAGGAACTCGCTTCCAGGGCATGGTTGCACGTGTGTTCGTGCACGGGTTCTTGCATCCTCTTCGGCTCCCCTCGGCTTCCAACACCCCGACTGATGTTCTCACCATTGAAACGGTGCGATGTGATGTTTCAGCCTACACTCCGACTCCATGGCTACACATACCACAGGATGGTCTGGCTCTGTGAGGACCAACCGCCCGTCTCCATGGCCGTCGCACTGAGGGACCCTGGTGGACCACGAAGGACGTCCAAACAGAATAGACCAAGAAGGAGGTCAACCTACCAGGGTTCACAAGGCTCCAGGTTTTGACCCACTGCCATTGAAGAACATTCTGGATCACTGCCAGTGGTGAGCTGTTTTCTTTCCTTGGGGGGCGTTCTGGTCCTATTCTGATGGCTTTCGTACAGGTGAGAAGCGTTTTCCTTCCAAATCTCCTCTTCACAACCTCAGACCCTAGAATTTGCCATTGCACGGACCATGCCTGAATGTCCCTGAGGCCTTCGATGCCTTCTTGGCATGCGTCAGGCCAGCGGGATGGAAACGACCAGTGGACGCTCGTCGTTCACACGCTGTGTTGGTGTGTCAGACCTGCCGCACAAGCAGCTTTTAAGAGGACTGACCGGACCATACCAATGTTCCAATGTTCGGTGGTCTATGGCATCGATTCCGGCATGCCTCTTGTCGCACGACATGGGCGGCTATTCAGCCACCGCATGGCTCCAACCAGGCGCTACCCGGAGTCCTATGAAAACAAGTGCCGCACAGAGGCGGGAAAATGTGGAAGCCTCAGTGAAACTGGGGACCTCCGGTAGATGTGGCGAAAGAGAGACGTGCAAATGTCTTCGTGCAAGCATGTGCAAGCTATATTGCCACGAGTGTTCTAAACGCAGTGCAGGCACGAGTTTTTATGCTCATTGCCGTTTTGTTCTCAAGGGCTCTTTTGGTTGCCTGCGGGCAAGTGGGTTGCCCGTGGGCAGGATGCCTGGTCCGTGGATTCATTTGCCACGGAACCAGGACTACTTCAAGGAGCTCACCGTGTCGGAAGGTGGATACGTTGAGCTCGAGGTTGTCGATGGTGAAGGACAGCCACAAGGTACCGCTCTATGGCAGATCGATCACCTGATCGAGAAGAAGAAAGAGGGCATTTGGCTGTCCGGAAGGCTTATTGCGGCCACTGATGAACACCTTCAATGGTGGCTAGGCAAAAGCTACGACAGGAAATTCGTGGTCCATTTATGTGCAACACCTGCGGGTGAGTGTAAGAAAACGAAACGGAACCGTGAAAAGGAGTTCCATTCGGATACGTTCCGTGACATTCAAGCGGGTGACATTTTGGCCCGACGTGTGACCTGGTTTTCACAAGATGACGTGAAGACGGACATAGACAAGGAGATTGCCAATCTGGCCGGGACTACTGATCGCTATGACCCGGCATCCATGGGTGGAGGCCGCGAGCCTGGTCCTGAGCGCTTGGACTGGGAGGCAGAAGAAAAAGTGGAAGACAAGGGAGCGCCCGCGGGCGAGGATATCCCAGGAAGACTGGCGGCTTTGAAGAAGGCAGTGAGTGGTAAAGAGCCGGGTGATGATCGGCTTGATAAGGATCAAAAGAAGAAGAAGAAGCGTGAGGAAGATGACATCTCACGAAAAAAGGCCGAACGCACAAAGGCCGCTAAGCGTGTGAAGGCCAAAGCTGCCGAACCCCTTTGGTTTGGCCATCCTCAGGAGTCGGATTCGGGAGCCGACACGTCGAGCAGCATGGGTGTACTCCCGGCAGAGAAGGCAGATGATGAAGCACCCACTGACCCAAAGAGAGGTCGCTCTCGTAAGAAGCAAAAGCTCAAGTCAGGAAAGCGAGCCAAGAAGACATCAGGCTCCAGCAAAAAGAAACCAATGGCTGATCGCGGGCCGTTTGGAGTTGGGCACCGCGTCAAGTTTGGGGATGAGAAATCGGGTTCAAGGAGTTCAGATGATGAAGAAGATTCAGGGTCGGATTTTCGGGCGGGCCCCTCCAACAAGTCACGTCAGCTGCAGCTTCAGGAGCACTCGGAGCAACATCCGGGGCGCTTGGCAGCACGGCTGCTGCAAAGGATGCAAGAGATCCTAGCTCGGCAGGAGGGGCCCATGCACACGAAGACCGGGCGCAATCTGACACCGGCCACGGCAACATCGTACTTTCTCACGGTGATCATCCCTCAGTACCGCGAGAAGATGAATCTGAGAACAAGCCGCGAGTTGAGGACACTTTGCAAAGCCCTCGGCCTGATAGCAAACGGAAACCCGGAGTCAGCCGGGGACATCCTGGGCCAGAGGGTGAAGTCTCTCGAACTGTACCTGTCGGATCAGGCATGGAGCCGGGCCCAACACTTGGAGTTGATTCCTCCCGGGGGAGTGAACTTGGTGGGAAGGGACGAGACCCTGATGGCCACGAAGGAGCAGGCGACCGAGCAAAAGATGAAGCTGCTGATAGCAGGGCAGCAGTGGAAAGGCAACAGCAAGGGAAAGATGAGCGACTACTACGAGAAGGGGAAAGGAAAAGGAAAAGAAAAAGGAAAGAAAGGGAAGTCAAAGTCGGAGAACGCGGGAGACATGCCCACGGAGGAGGCGCAGTTCCTCCCCTTCGGACCACCGACAGACCGTGATGAAAGGCCACCTCTAGCTCGCAAGGAACGGGGCACTATTGCGGTTGAGGAGTATGCAGATGAAGGGTCTGAGAGTGTGGTTGAGGACCTGATGGACGATGTAAAGGGATGCCCACCGAACCTACACAACCTGGATGTTGATGAATGTGAGACAATCCGGGAATGGAGCCTCATGGTCAGAGAACTATTCAAGCAGAATGCAACCTTCGAGGATCTTGGAAAGCACCTGTATGCCCTGATGCTTATGAGTCCTGCCCCGCTTGGAAATTTTGGTCGATCGTATTGCCACAACCCCCCATCTCTCTCACACCGAAGCGGGGAACATCTGGAGATGAGCAAACCAATTTGTGTGCCGTTCAAGGACGGGCTCTCAGAGCTGCAGATTGCAGCGGTCAGTGAAATGGCCAAGGTGGTGACGAGCAACATAGTCTCGGGAACACCACTAAAAAGTTTGGGAGAAAGTGAGAAGCTCTTGAGCTCAAAGAAGTATATCTACTCCGGAAATCCGATTGAGTATATGGACCGGACTTGATCTGTGAACGAGTCCTGCCTGCATGGCCACGGCCAGGTCAAGCAGGCATCCAGCCAATAGAGGCATACCTGAGAGAAGAAACCAAGAAGGCTTTATCAGAGCCAGAGAAGCTTCTGCTGCCGCCGGATAAGATGCCGGAGCAGGGGCTTAGATCCCGTGTGCGGGCGAGCGATAGTGAGTGGTTCAAGCTAGTGCACGCAGCGCATCAAAGAGGAATGATGAAGCCAGTGGATGACTCCCTGGTCCCGCGGGACAGGCAGGGGCACCTGATCACGAATGGGGCTGGTGGAGTGTTCAAAGAAAAGATCATCGATGGAAAGCCGCACAAGTGCCAGCGATTCATCTCGATCCTGTGCCCAACCAACGCGGTAATGAGTGCCATTGCAGGTTCCCAGGACACATTACCATACATAGGACAACTGACCGGAATCTTGTTGGAAGAAGATGAGGGCCTGTACCTGGACAGCGAGGATTTGCAGTCGGCATTCAACCTGTTCTCCATGCCAGATAAGTGGTTGCCCTACCTTGCTTACAGCAAGAAGGTGGATTCAGCTGCCTTTGGGATGCCTCCTGGAACACTAGTTCGACCAGCCCTAAGTGTGGTACCGATGGGATGGCACTCAGCAGTCGCCTTGGTCCAGGAAGCAGTGAGGACACTGGTCTTTGAGAGAGCAAAAATCCCTCGTCAGTACTCGATCGAGAAGCACGCTAGGCTCCCAGAGGAGAAGATCTACACGATTGTCTACCTTGACAACTTTGATGAGATTCATGTGGTGAAGTCATTGGACATTGACCTTCAGCAGGAAGGAGAAGAAATCTCGCCACACCATAAGCAGTTCATTGCAGCATGTGATGAAGCGGGACTGCCCCGGAATCTGGGAAAACAGCTGATCCATGCGTTTGCTGGAGGCCTCCAAGGGGGTGAACTCGATGGACACCGAGGGGTGTTAAAGCTGGCGGGAGACAAGCTGAGGTGCTACATCGAATTGAGTCTTGCGTTACTCTCCCGCCATCGGTGGTCTGAATTTTATCTACGGCATTGGACAGGCAAGACCGCATTTCTGGCCACATTCAAGAGATCGATGTTCTCCCGAATCGCCAATGTCTTCGATTCCATTGAAAGGGCACGAAAGGGACCGGTCAACCCGACCGCAGAGGTGATTGATGAGATCATGTGCATGCTGCTGCAATCACCCTTGGCACAGGTCAACTTGAAAGCCAAGATTTCGCCTGAAATCAGCTGCACCGATGCCTCTCCCACCGGGGGCGGGGAGTGCTACCGCTACGGCATTCAAGCAAGGACCTGATCCTCATGGGCCCATGGTGAGCTTTGAAGGAAAGTGCAACAACTGCGGACATGATTTCAGCACCCCAATCCCGACAAGGACTGAAGGCAGATCGAAATACCCTTGCCCAGTGGGATGTGGGGCTGTCGTGTGCTCAGTCCGATGCGCCATTGAGCATCGGGAACACGGGTGCGCCCGGGTTATGTTCGCCTGCCCGCTGTTTGGAGAGAGGTTCAGCGGTCCAAATTACCCTCTCACGAAGGCCGTAGCACTTGCAGGGATTGGAGTGCAACCTCCTCTTGATCTGCTCGTCCCGGATGACCCGTGGGATTACTCCACCGCCGAGGGTAAGCAGAGACTGGATTCGTATGAGGTGGAGCCAGCGCTGATGTGCGAGCACTACGGACCTGAATGCAAAACCTTCTCAGCAGCGCGAGGAAAGCCCTTCAGGACCACAGCGGGTCGTGGGGACTGGACCATTTAAGTCCTCAAGAGCAAGTGCAGGTAAGACGTGGAAATGCGATGGCAAAGAGGTCGTTGAGAGGTTTGAAGATGGCATTCGACAATGATCGGCTGGCAGTCCTTGAGCATCCATACAGCTCTCACCTTTGGTCAACACCAGAAGCATCGGAATTGGCCTCAAGGGATGATGTCTACCACACTTATTTCACCGCTTGCTGCTTCGGCGGGGCTCGAACAAAATGGACAAGCTTGCTTCACAACATCGAGGAGCTCCACGCAGCTTTACACCGGCCGACATGCCCAGGACATGAAGGACTCTTACCGTATGAAGTCCATGAGGTGGACGGTGCCCCGCAATTTGATACGGAGCAAGAAGCCGAATACACCTGGGAACTCTGCCGGGCTTACGCTGCCGGGCTGAAGAAGGCCCTCCAAAAGCGCACCAGCGTCCCGTTTGGGTTGGTGCCATGGGATCCCAAAGCTGCCATTTTGGCGGCCCTGAAGCGATCGACCCGTGGGATGCAGAGAACAGATGTGGCCAGTGGAGCAGCAGATGAGGTGCTGCGGGTCCTGAGGACAATGCGCCCAGGCCATGAGCGTCGCCATCTGCGCGGGTTGCTTAGAGAAATTTGTATCAGAGGGACTGAGGTCCGGTTTGAAGCAACCGCAGAAGATGGATCACTCCAGTTGATGGCGCCCTACCCTGCATTCAAGTGGCAGTGGAAAACGAAGCTTTCGTACCCCTGGAAGCACACGCAGCACATCAACGTGCTTGAGGTCTCTGCCTTTTTGGTGGAGTTTCGCCGCAGGATGCGGGAGATCGCCCAGCTGGGCACGAGATTCTTCAATGTGACCGAC